GTTTGGGGTCCATACCTCCCTATCCTGATTTTCATGGGATAAATTCTCCTGAGTGAGGAGCCAGGTATCTGAAGAGGCATTGGACAGCCATGGAAGAGTCTGAGATGGGGGGATTACTGTCTGAAAAATATGAGTCTTCACTCAGTGCTGTCTGCCATCAACAGATGAGTCTTCCTACAGATTCAGGCTTTAGCTCAGGTCTTGTTGACCCCTTGCTCATACAAGAACAGTCAATGTAGTGATGGAAGGAGCAGGCCTCAAGGCCATGCTGCCTGGGTGCAAGTCCGTGTCCCTCCACTTTATTAACTATGCAAATTGGGGAAGTCACATTGGCTCTGAGCCTTTTCATCTGTGAAATGAACATAAATGCTTCCTTCATTGGATTTTTGGTGAGGTTTCAATGAAATAAGTTATAAAAGCCCATAGCACAAAGCCTGGCACATTGTCAGTACTGGGTAAATGTGAGCTGTTGGAGATGGATGTGTATCTGGGATTGTTTTCTAGAAGGCTTCACTTAGCTATTGCTGTATAATAAATCAATTCAAAACCTCAAGGTTGAAAATGACAAGGATTTATTATTTCTCACAATTCTGGGGGGTCAAGAATCTGGGTAGGTCACAGTGGGGTGGGTTTTTGGCTCCATGTGATGTTGGCTGGGCTCACTCATGGCTTTCAGCTGGTGGCCAGCCTGAGCTGGAAGGTCCAGGAAGAAGTCTTCCCATGTCTGGTACTTTCCATGTGGCCTCTCATCCTCCACACGGTATCTCATCATTCAGTAGTAGCGTGAGCTTCTTTATGGCCTGATGAAAGACTTTCCAAAGTAAAAGTGGAATCCACCAGGCCTCTTAAGGACGAGGTCCAGAACTGGCACAGCATCCCCTTCTGCTGCATTCTATTGGCCTAGCCCTGGCCCAAGCCCAGCCTAGATTCAAAGTTTGGGTGGAACATCAGGTATGTTCAGAGATGAAGTCCTCAACAGTGGGCATCTTTGGAGGCCACATACCATAGAGTCTAGAGCTTTCTTGATCATCAAAGTGGTCCAAGCCACAGCCTCATGCCCCCCACGCTCTTTCCATACAATGCTCCCTATTCTCTCCAAGAGTCCTGTGATTTCCACCATCATGCCATGCCCCCTCCAATGTCTAGTTCTTTGAACAAGTTGTTCTTTTTCTGGCTAACTTGTCTTTATCATCCTTTGCTCCTACTTCAACCATCTCTGTTCTGGGAAGCCTTATGTGATCTTCTAAATTTGTCTGATGCCCCTGTTATTTATTTCCCTAGCATCTGGTACCTTTCCTCCTTAAAACTCATCACCTCTGTAAATAACTGTAAATTCAGTGTCTGTGGTCCTTCCAGACATGGACCCATGAGGACAAGGACCCTGTGAGCCTTGTCACTTCATCCCCAGTTCCTGGCTCAGTGCCTGGCACCCAGTAAGTACTCGGAAATGGGCCAGGGGTCTCCTGAATGAGCAGGAGTGTTGGCACTTGGATTCCAGCCTCATCTTGGCCCTTTTCCCTTTGTGTGACCTTGCTGTTGCGGGTTCCCTGGGAAGCAGATGCCCGGCTAAGGATGAATGTGCAGGACATTTATTAGGGGTGGAAGGGAAGGAAAGGAATTAGAGTTGGGTAGAGGGAGAAGTTGAGATGTGATGCAGTCAGAACAAAGGCCTCAGCTGACCCGATGGGAGTTCTGAAGGTGAGATGATGCTTCTGTTAGGGCCAAGGGGCTGGGACTTTATTCTCTTGCATCACCAGTTTTTGGATGTGAACTGTCCTTGGAAGGGGACAAAATCATAAATAAAGTGGATCTTCTCAGCAGAGTACAATAATCAGAGACGACTGGGAACTAAAAAGAAGGAAGAACTCTTCAAATGTCATAAGATAGCCAGAAGAGGAAGACTCTCTGATCCCTGATCAAAGTTTGTCAATAATGAAATGAATGGGGCTCGAACACCTCCATGGACTATCCAAATGGGAAGGCCTTGTCTTGAGCAAGTTCTCAATGACACCAGTGCCCAGTTCAACCCTTTGGAGAATAACTTGCATGAAGCCTTGGCCCACTCTGAAGCCATCCTCCATGGACCTCAGGGTCATTCTCCTTGTCTTCAGTGATTTCCTAAGGAGAAATTCCAACCTGGATTTCTTGGGCCACTGCATCAATATTTACATCAACAGGCACTGTCTGGCCAGGATGTGGTGACTTCTGCTCCAGGCAGGAATACCAGCTCCCAAGAACACAGGGAAAAGAATCTGGATGGTGTAGAGGTTTATCTTGATGGAAAAGATCCCATGTGTGGTCTCAGCAGCTCCTCTAGGTTCCCCATTGGCTGACAAACCACAGTGGAAGAACAGAGGCATCAGATCTCAGACCTGCACATTTTTGCTGTCACTTCTTCTCCCAAGCAAATGATGTAACCAGGAGGTTTTTGTTTGGGTATGTTTGTGGCAGACATCAGATCCTTTAAAGAACCAAGTCACAGCAACGATATTGTTCCCCAGTAACCAAGATGCCAGTGGCTGTTGGCATGAATGCTGGGGCCACTCCCTGGCTTGTCTATCCTGGCAGCGAGAAGAGTGAACAGTTCAGATTAAGGGGCAGGGCCTCGGCAGAAGAGGCCAGTAAGAGGAGGAAGAGAGAACCACAGATGGTCTGAAAGGATGGCAGAGTTCCCAGGCTCAACTCTCATGGATATTAAATTTTATTGATCACTTACTCTGCACCAGGCACTGGGCAAAACATTCTACGTACTTTACCTTGTTTGATCCTCATGACCATCTTTTTCCCATTTGACTGATAGGGGAACTGAGGCTCAGAGAGGAGAAGTGCCCTCCCCAATGACTGATTGATTGCAGAAGGATTTGAACCCAGGTCTCCAAAGTGTAGGCTCTTAATCCAGCTACATTGTGTAGCCTGGGAAATTTGCTTAAATTGAATACGTTCTAAATGGAACTCAGCTTGATCGTATGTCCAACCGGCTGTCTGTTACACAATGATAAAATTTGGCCATGGACAATGCAAGCTCTAGATGTTTCCTGTTCCTTCTGCGTCCTCTTTCCTCTATCTCCTGCTTTCTCCTTTCCTTCCTTTTCTCCTTCTTCCTTTCCCTCCCCATTTATTGAGCCCCTAGGTTATGTCAGAGTCAGCCCTGGTGGTCCAGTGGTTAAGATTCAACTCTCACTGCCGCAGTCCGGGTTCATCCGTGGGTCAGGGAACCACACCACCTGTCTGTCTGTTTTCATACTGTGGTGGCTGCATGTTGCTGTGATGCTGAAAGCTACGCGACTGGGATTTCAAATACCAGCAGGGTCATCATGGTGGACCTATTTCAGCAGAGCTTCCAGACTAAGACAGACTGGGAAGAAGGACCTGGCCACCGACTTCTGAAAAATTGGCCATGAAAACCCTGTGAATAGCAGCAGACCATTGCCTGAGACAGCGCCAGAAGGTGAGAGGATGGTGCAAAAAGACCGGGCAGGGTTCTGCTCTGCCATACACAGGGTTGCTAGGAGTTGGAATCAACTCCATGGCACCACAACAAATGTTATGTCACACATAGCGAATGTCAAGAAACTTAAACCCTTGGTCCTGTCCTCCGTGCATGTTCTGGGGGACATCCTCTTAGGAAAGCCAGACACAAAAGCAAACTATTACAATGCCACGGGGCACTCTTAAACTTAGACTTGATGGATAAAGAGGAAGCACAGAAGAGCAAGCAGGCAAAGCTGGGGGAAGGCACAGCATGGGCACAGCTAGAGAAAAGGAAGCAATGCGCTAGGCTGGGGAAACGGGGGCCCAGGAGGAGAGGAGAGGAAGGCACAGCTCCAGAGAAAGCCCATTTGGAATACGACGGGCCTTGAATGCCATGCTAAGGCCGTCAGACCTGCTGACAAAGGTTCTGCAGAGCCCCACCAGATATTTAAGGGCGGGTGGTAAGAAGATGGGCTGTGTATTTTAGAAAGATCATGAGGCAGATGTGTGCAAGGTGGGCTGAGGACAGACTATAGTAATGCAGAGACTGGAGTCGGGGAACTCATCCGGAGATTGCTCAAGCTGTCCCAGAGTAGGTGTGGGTCTCCTGGTCACCAGTTCTCTTGGGGTGTCCAATGCCTCTGATAAATTCTTCATCCCAGTGCATCAGAGATGCTTTATCCTCCACAAGCATCTGCCTTTGGAAGGGACAATACAGAGGGCAGCTTAACTGAAAAGAGCCATTGAATGGTGGACTTTCAAACTGATTATATAGGGTTAGTACAAAGAGCTTTTAACACCTACAGAGCCCACCACTTATTCTAACTTGACTATTCGGGGGCTAATGTCTTATTTAACTTTATTTGCATGCAAAGGCTTCATCTAAATTCAACAGGCTCTTGGCTGAGATCTGGACCTGCCCTTTATCCTCCTGCACAGACCCACAGCTGGTTTTACCCCAAGGTCCTAGAGCAGCAAGGAAAGGGTCTGGCAACCATTCCTCTCTCCCAGGCTGAAATAAAAAACTATTTGGCTGGCGCTCTCAGCTCTCAATTTCTCCAGCCACCCTCTCCAGCAGAGTCCCAGTCTCCATTAATACTATTACTCGGGATGACATTTCCTCTGACTGTCGTTGTCTCTTTTTTTTCCTCCTCCTTAATTCTCTAATTTGTCCTAATATGCCCATTGCCTGCGTATCAAGTCATCCATGAAGCCGCCCCATTTCCAGGTTCCTTCCTCCCCATCAGCCGAGTCTCCGTCTCCCACAGAAATTAGAGGGAGGCGGCTGCAAGCCCGCAAGGGCAGGAAATAGAATTAGGGGACGTATTAATTGGGACATCAAGTCGGATTTCGTTCCAGGCACTTCCTTCCGTTAACCACTTTGAAGCTTCCCCTCCGTGGCTCTGTTTCTCATTAGATGGAGCTCTTAATGGCGAGCGGTGTTTACGCATGGTGCAAATATGTCATGCCCCAACCTTCAGACTGGCAGCCCCAGCTGATTGGTGAAGGCTGGAAGAGGAAAAGGGCAGCCAAGGGGGTCGGGGTGGCAAAGGGTAGCAGTGATGCTGAGGAAGAGCAACTTTTTAACGATGCTAAAAAAAGAGGTGTGTTTTTGGGCTGAAGAAAGAGATTCCATCAAAGCGCCATTATTTTAAACTTTCCCTTATGTGCAGTTTCCAGGGTCTGCAAGTTCATTCGCAAAGCAAGTTCCTTTCTTCTTCTTTTTGTTACGACTGTGCTTTTCCCAGGCAGCCATGGATTTGCTGGCTGCTAGGACTCACGATGCCTTTGCCAACACCTAAGAAACCGGTTGAAATGAAAGTATCCGGCCTGATCCAGAGAAAGCTGCCAGGAGACCTCGTCTCTCTGTGCCTTCCCAGCTCTTCGTTTTGACATTTCCTCTCAGGGACACTCACTGCCTCCTTTGCCCCAAAACCGCTCCACCCAACCCGTCCACCCCACCTCTTTGAGGTCCTCTCTCTTCAAGGTGTGGTTGGCTTGTGCCTTTGTGGAATCCCCACGCGGAGGTGTTTTTGCCAACACTAATTCAAGGCTGTGAGAAGAACTTATTTGTGGAAGGGTATTTGTTTTTCCACCGACGCAGCCAAAACCACCAGCTTCCCTTGCTGGAGAGGAGAAGGGAGAAAAGAAGAACCGTTTCTTTCCCATGATCCCTAGTGGTAGCGCTACAAAACACAACACTTCTAGGAGACGCCAATCAGGTTTCACTGAGACTCAACTGTGGGGGCCTTTTGTCCTAATCACCAGGGCAAGGAACCCCAGAAAGCAAATGTCTGATGCACTGAAGGCTGAGGTCAGGCCCTTCTACTAACCCAGCAGCTCTGACAGCCAATGCAAATACCACAGCCCTGCCCTGGACACCCTTCAGTCCTCTTGAGCAACCAGGAGCCAAGATAAAGCAACTGAGACTCATGCCGAAAGCAGGGAAGACAAACCTCAGCGCTGAATGGAAACCAAATCAAGCAACTTCTCACCCATCAGCTTCAAGTGATGAGGGCAGAGGTGTTCCATTCTTTCTTTCTCCTCCTTCTTCTATTTTTTTCATCTTTAAATCCAAAGGGATGAAGAAGCAGGAAGGGAACTGGGAGCCGTAAGTGGCCGAGCTGCTAAGAGATCCAGTCTTTGTCTTTGCACAAAGGCCATGAGATCTAGAGCGTCTCATTTCTGGGCATGTGAGTGAAGACTGTTTGGGGTGTAATGACATAAATCAATTTGTGCTAACTGGAGCAAAAACGTTGGGGAAATTATAAAGATTCAGGATTATATCCAGGAACTAGAAGAATCTCAGGAATCCAGAGATTTATCTTTCTCCATTTCTCTTCTCTAGTGCTCACTCACACTTTCCTTCTCTCTCTCTCTCTCTCTGTATTTATTCTTCTGCTTCATGGAAAACCATCTTTCCTTCTTCCTTATGTTCTTGGTGAGGGAAAGACGGCTCCCCATAGTAGCCACATGAACACATTACAGTAAATACAACAGGCAAAGACAGAATCTCAGTCTCCGCTCTTCCCGGGGAAGATATTTTCCTTTGTCTCCTTGGGTTAGATGCCAATCCTGTTCCAGACAATTGTGGTCAGAAGGAATGAGTCGCATTGGACAAAGGCGGGCACTGAGAAACCAACTCTGCAAATTGCGGGAAGACCGTCAAGGGCACCATTATTCACAGGAAGACACTCTGCAATTCTCTCATACATTCAAACTCAGCCATTTAATGTTATTTCACTTTGGGAATTACTTTCATTCATTTATTCATTTATTCCTTTCTTCTCTTATTCATCAGTATTTGGACAGTATCTACTATGTGTATATCATTGTTTGTTCTTTCCCTTTCATTAATTTTTTTCAACTTCTTCAATAACTATTTATTCAATAAATATATCTATCATGTGCTTGGGATGACCATGATATGCAAGACACACTGGTTCCTTACAACTTCCTTCTAGCAAACAAATTCTAACCACTGCACTAAAAATGAAATTTACTTTCTTGGGCAGTCGTCAAATTAGAAGGTGACTTTTGCATTCCCTCCATCCAAAATGACTTGGCCAGAGAAAAAGAGACACTTCACCCATTTAGTCTGTCTCCTTATGAAAGCCCAATTGGAAGGTTTCTGTCCTGTAAGATGACAGGGTCAGCAGGGTAGTTATGAGAATCTCTTCCTACTCCGGAGTTGAAGAATGTTATATTGAGTCTATTCATCAGACTAATGACAAAACCATTAGCCAACAAGAAGACAGACACATCTCAGCGGATGCGAGAGACTTACAGCAACTGGTAAGCATGATCTCCGTGGAAATGAATTAGGGGTCGAAGTAAAATAAATTCATAACCTCTTCTTATGGGAGGAGGCAATGGACATGATGCCTTCACCTCCTTGTTTCTTAAATATCTCAAGGATCCGACCTGTAAAACACGAATGCAATGACTTACAACCAGCAGGTGCACCTCAACCATTAATTACCTGAGAACCCCGATGTGTTCCTACCCTGACAGACCAAAAACAAACTCACTGATGCAGAAAGACAGACTGACACCTTTTTCTTCTGTGAACAAGATGAGTCAACAGGACGGAACTTCCAGAAAATTGTGATTGACCTGAAGTCTCCAGGCAAAAATTCATCCAGCCAACATTTGCCAAGAATCTGCTCTACACCAGCCACCATGCTGGGCACACTCTGCTAGAACCGAAGAAGCACAGAATTAGTTCTCGGCCATTTATATCTGGTTTCAGAGTCCATAAATACACCTTACAATAAAACGTCTAAAGGAAGCTGACAGAGGAGCAAAATCCATCCAAAAACTGTGCACATTAAGGGGAAAAAAACTCCATGGAATGATGGGATTTTCAGCTGTGCTGTAGGAAAAACGACTTCCTCTCTTCCTCTCTGTTGGGCTTACTTTTTTTCCATAAACCTAAAGTCATGGCAAAGTGACAGTGAGACCCAGCCAACATGGCAGCAGACACACGTTGGTTGCTGTTCCTTTGAGGAACTTTTCAATTTTAACTCTTACTTGCCTTTGCTGCTCCAGCACCAACGTCTTACTCTCCTTTTTGGGATTCAGGAAACAAACAAGGAAGGCATTATAAGCTCTCTGAACCCCGGGGACCTTTAGGAAGAGAGCCAGCAAGGCTATGACAAAGAAGTATAGCAATGGCCATAGTTGGTTGCGTGTTTCTTAGAAACCCTCATCACAGTTGCAATTTTTCGCTCAACGTCTAACCTCACTCAATGTCAGGTCCAAGTGGGCAGAAACCACATTAGCCTCATTTACTGATGTGTTCTCAGAGCTCAGCCCCATCACTGGCACACAGTAGATGGTCAATAACTATTTGTTGAATGAATGAGTCTGTACACGTTTGTCTGATTTAATTCTCTCAGCAAGATCAGGTATTATGGGTCCCATTTTCCTATGGACAAAAACAATTGACTTCTCTCACCTAGTAGGTATTAATAGCCCCATTTTATAGGTCAGGAAATTGAGGCTCAGTGAAGTGAAATAATTTGCCAGTGGACGAATAGCTAGGGAAGAAAATGCAGGACTTTGCTTATGAATGCTGCTCTGTTTGCAGTAACTAGGACAGCGCCTGCCACGGAGAAGAGACTCATTAAATAATTTTTAATACATTGAATAAATATAAGTACAGAGCTGGGATTCAAGCCATGGATTGTTCCACTGCAACACACGCTCCCCCTAACCCTGGGAGCCATTTCTCTCCTAATACACCTTTACACTTGTCTTCTGCCAAGAGCCACGTAGAATGCCAGGGTCTTTGCACCCACTGAAGTGGTCAAAGAGCTCAGTGCTCCAGCTTTGGATCACACAGATGTGGGTTTGAGTCTAGCCTCTACCATCAGGTGACCTTGAGCACGTTGATTTTAACAACTCTGAATCTGAATCTTGTGTGTGATGCTTCTAAGAGGGAACTCAATGATGATTTCATTGAGTTGGGAGGTGAGGCTGGCTTTTTGGATTTTGGGATTCATATGTCCCAATAAAAAAAAGAGAGGTTTATAGTGTCAGCAGGCTGGGATTGATGACTCTCTCTGTCAAAGGAAAATAGAAATTCTGATTCACAGCATGAGCCAGAGGAAGGTGAATGGAATTCAAGTGATGTCCTGAGTGTCTCCCACCCGCATGTAGCCCCATCCAGGGGTCAAAGTTAATGGAAAACTATGACGAATTCTTTCAGGCAAGGACACCAAGGATTTAGCCACCTGAGAAATAAAGTTTTCGGTCACCTCACTGGGCAAACAACCCCAACCAGGGAATACAGAGTACGTAGTGTAGGATTAATAAATACTAGCCACAACCTTGTGAGTAGTCACAGAAACTTGTTATATTTGTGTGGGGGTGTGTGTTAAATATATATTTATATACTTTAAATAATCTTTCTTCTCTTTCTTCTCCCTTTCACCCTCTCTGGCACTTGGTAATCATTAAATTTACCATTTCATAGGTTGCAAGATATTGAAATAGAGTCACAAAAGAATAGGAGAAGATTTAGCATGATGCAAGAAGCACAAACTTCTGGTTAAATGCATTTATTGATGAGATATGTATTCTTTCCCTTCAAGGAGAAGAAAACTGTGTCTCTGTTTGTACAGGGAGGTGTGGATGTTTAGATAGAGCATACTTAAAAGTGTGTATATGGAAAAAACTCAAGTTGGGTCAGTGAAGGGATGGACTGTATTAGTCACACAATGTTTTTGACTGCTTGGCATCCACTGCTGCTCCCTAGATGCATTCCGTCTGAGGTCAGTTTTCCTAGAAGCAGAACCTGAGATGAGAATTTTTGTCCAGGTTATTTCTGGAGAGTGTGTTCTCAACCTGGAAGGGAGTGAGGGAAGCAAGATAGGGAAGGGAGAATACAGCAAAGATGAGTTTTCAAATGCAGTGTAGCTTCAGCCTGATCTTGCGGGGAGCTCTGGAGTACAAGTTGCACCACAAAGTCAGTTTCTCTTTGACATAAGGGAGAAGGGACTTTGTACCCATGAACCAGTCAAATGTTGGCAGCAGGCCATCCTGGGGGTGAGGGACCGGGGAAAGACACAACTCCCAGGCACCTCAATAGCACCTGCAACAGCCAGGTGGGTGGGACACTGTTTTAGTTTCCTACTGTTGAGTAACAACCTATTCTAAAACTCAGCTACTTAAAGCAATCATAAACATTTACTTTGCCTCACAGTTTTGTGGGTCAAGCTCAGCTTGGGGGTTCTGGATCACAGCCTCTCATGATGTTGCAGTTTTGATTGGCTTGGGCTGTAGTCTCACCCGAAGGCTAGACTGGGGCTGGAGGCTCTGCCTCCAAGCTGGTCACTCACATGGCTGGCAAGTTGATGCTGACTCTTGGTAGGATGCCTCAGTTTCTCCTCTCCGGGGCCTCTCCACATGTTGCTTGAGTGTTCTCATGACATGACAGCTACTACCCCAGAGTAAGCAAGCCAGGAGACTAAGGGAGAAGCACAGTGCCGTTTATGACCTAACTCAGAAGCCAGACACAGTTTCCTCTGGCGTAATCTACTGGCCACACAGACAAGGTCTGATTCAATATGGCAGGAGACTACACAAGGGTATGAACACCAGGGAGTGAAGATCATGGATCACTGGGGGCCATCAAAGAAACTGGCTGCCACAGGCATCAACAGTGTCTGCTTCTCCACATCCAAATTTTATTTAGAGGGATTATCTCTGCCTTGTTGTGCATTGATGGCCAGATAATTCCAGGTGTCCCAAGTTTCACTACAGAAGTCAAGAGATACAACCAGGAAACAGTCATGTGACCTCAGCCCAGCCAATCGGATGTCCTCTCCTAAGACTCTGCCCCCTTAGCATATTAGTTTGCTGGGAGTAACATAACAAAATACCACAGACTGGCTGGCTTAAACAACCGAAATTTATTTTCTCACACTTCTGGAGGCTGGAAGGCCAAGATCAAGGTGACTACAGGGTCAGTTTCTCTCTCCTTGGCTTGCAAATGGCTGCCTTCTCATTGTGTCTATATAAGGCTTTTTCTCTGGGTGTACATATTCCTGGTGTCTCGCTGTGTGTCCAGATTTCCTCTCCTTTTAAGGATACCACTCATATTGGATGAGTGACACCATTTTAACTTAATTATCTCTTTAAAAGCACTATCACCAAATGCAATCATATCCTGAGGTATTGGGGGTTAGGGCATCAACATATGAATTTTGGGGGACATGATTCAGTCCATAACACTTAGAGAATGAGGCACTAGAAGGAGCAGTTCCAGGTCATTTACCACAGCAGAGGTGTGCTGACCTGAACCTTCCTAGCATGACACTGGAGCCGTGCTCCTCTCTCCCCCGCCCCCTCTAGCTTCCATAATTAATTCCCACTTTCTAAGCCTAGTTTACAAAGCCTCCTGCCAATTCTGAGAGATCCAGACTGTGCATCGAATAAATTAAGTTTTGCTTAAGCCAGTCAGAGTTGGCTTATGTTTCTTAACAGTCATGTCCCCGGACCGATACCTCGCTTTTTCCGTATTTTCTGGAATGAATGTATGTTTCCTCTATACTCAATTGGGGGCAGGGTGTGGAGAAAGGTCATTTTTAAAGTACAAAAGTACTCAGGCTAAATTAAAAATCTTCCTAAGCACGTCTTTCTTCTCACCTGAATAACATATTTCTCACCTCATTCAGACACAGACATACACAAATTCACTAAATTTAAAAGAAAGGGGAAGGTGTAAGACCTGTGGGGTTTGGGCAGTGAGTCAAATTACCATTCAGTCAGTCGATTGTTACCTGATACTATGCTTTCCTGATCATCGGCAGAACTCTGCCCAGAACGATACTGAGAACAGAATATAAGATCCCTGAGACAGGAGAGCAGTCTCTTACTCCTGTCAAACTGTCTCATGGAGATGCTCTTAAGACTAAATCCAGAACAAGATCAATCAAATGAAGCTGTAAAATCCACATCCTGCTGAGATCTGTGTGTTGGAGAATTACTCACAGTGAGATGGTCTAATGTCAATAGTTATGGTAAGGAAATCCAACTACCTGTTCTGGGACAAAGAGGAAGAGGCAGAGAGAGATGACAGAAGTAGCGAGAGTCATGAGCACGTGCCCCCAAGTGAGTATGAGATGTGAGGGTGAATTTGGTCCTCACTCAGTCAGACCCAGTTCCAATGTCCTGCTAGTGCATGAGCATCCGCCATGCTGAGTGCCATGCTGGGCCTTCAATATACATTTTTTTCATATAACATGCCATTAAATTATAGCCAGCTACTTTTTCTGGTTCTCAAATATAGAAAGAGATCTTCAAGGGTGGAAACAAAACTGGATCTGGCGGGCTTATGGAGAGATGAGATATTGGTCTCTAATAAGACAATCTCCCAAGAGAGATTCAAGGATTTTTTTTCTATTCACATGCTGCCTTATACTCTCACTCTGCATGGAGTTAACCCTCACACAAGAAGCAATCCCTCTGTATGTTGTTTTTCTTTTCTTTTCTGATCTATTCCAAGCTCATAAAATGACTTTGCCAGGCTTTCAGAGACCACAGACCAGAGGAAGCCTGAATGAGTACTGGGTCTCCCCATCACCACCACCGGTTAACATGGAGCGTGATTTTTTTTTTTTTTTTTTTTGGCATTTTTCCTTCTCTTTAGCAAGTTCACAGTGGACCCCAAGAGGTCAGTGATCTTGAATCCGATAAGGAGAGACATTCTTGCCTGCTGGAATGACAGGCTGCAAACATTACAGACTAAAGTAAAAAGAGAATAAAGTTCAATTTATAGGAAAAGAGAGAGAGAGCAAAGTATAAAAACATCCCAGGGCAACTGAACTCTGTCATCCAAACACATGAAAACGTTCCAGATAGCTGAGTGATAAGCAGGAAATTGCTGGAAAAACCAACAGTCATGGAAGGAGAAAATTGAAGTGGGGGGGGTTGAATTGAGCTAAGTGACTGTGTCGTATGGTTTATTATTTTATTAGTTTTAATAGTTGGGTAGATAAGCTAATAGCAATAGGATTTACTTTAAAGATCAACACTATAGACTCCGCTGTTTATTATTTGATAGTAATGTGTCTCCAGCAAGGGGAATATTAAATCTCATAAAAAGCCACTCCTGCAGCCCCGTCTGAGTCGCACGCACACGGGTTTTCCCTCTTAGTTCTCATCTCTGGCAGGGGTTTTGTTTGGCTAATACTCCGAGGCACATCTGCTCCTCGGGAATCTGTGAGAGCCATTGCAGCTCCTGGTTTGCATTCTATGACCAGAGGATGGAACTGGAGCTCACCTTTCTCAGAATTCTTTTAGCAAGAGGTGATTAACTCATCTGGGTCCTGAAATATATGGCATAATGTAGATGAGGGAATGAATCTGATAGATGGGACCCTCACAGCTCTGAAATTATGGTGGGCGAAAAGAAATAATGGGTTTAACTTACTCAGCACAGCGCCTGGTCAATCCTGAATAAACGCCAGCCAAATGGGGAAATGGTAAGTGTAGCCGATTATTGTGAGTTCTTGAGTCGGACTGCTGGGGGAAAAGTCCCGGCTCTGATCTTCATACAGTTTCAAAGGATTTCCCCACAAGATACTTACTAAGAACAAAGGAAAAATTAGACACCACCTTAAGCAAATGATCAAAGCTAGCATCACCAATCACAGGACCGATCCTGATGGCATGTGCCTCCTGCTATGATGTTCTGCGAAGTACATAACATCATTTCTAGGGTGTTCCTGTCAAAAGAACATAACAGAAATCCAATGTGACAAAGCCAAATTGATGAACATTCTACAGAATAATTGGCCTGTACTCTAAAACTATCAACGTCCTGAGATACAAAGACAGAGCAAGGAATGCTTCCAGATCACCAGAGACACAAGAGGCATGACAAGCGAAGGCACTGAGTGATTCAAGAATTTCTCTTTGCTTTTGCTTTTTTTCCTTTTCTTCTCTCTCTCTCTCCCTCTCTCTCTCTTTCTCTCTCTCTCCTCCTTCTACTCCTTCTTATTCCTTATCATTTTGCTATAAAGGACACTGTTGGGACTATTTTCCAATTGGCGAAATATAATCAAAGTCTGTAGACCTGATACTAATATTCTATCTGTATCAATAGCAATTCCCTGATCTCAGTAGCTGTACTGTGATTATGTAAGAGACCATCCTTGTCTTTAGGACGTAAACTAACGTATTGAGAGGTAAAGGGACGTTAAGTCTGCAACCCGATCTCAAATGCTTTGGAATGAAAAAGAAGAGAAAGGGTAAAGCCAATGTAATAAAGTATTAACATTGCGAGAGCTGGATAAAGCGTAGACGGGGATTCTTGGCAACTTCTGTGCAAGTCTGAAATTATGTCAAAATAAAAAGCTAAGGTTTAAAAAAAAGAATAATCTCAGCTCTGCCACTGTGGAACTCCAAATGACTTGACTTCTCTGAGCCTCAGTTTCCTCATCTCAAAATGGAGATGTCAGCACCAGCATACAGAACATCTTCCTTCCAATGACATGGCCAAAGCAGTAAAATATTAAATCCTTAAACTTTTTCTTGAGTGAGGAGATGGGTTACAGAGTCAGGATTAGGGTAGAGATCTGGGGCACTACCACACGTTTCCTAGTAATAAGAACTTTGATTTTACACTTCACCATGGCCATTCCCTCCAATGAGCTGTAGCAAAGGTTCCCTCTCAAAATCGTGCTTCCCTTTCAAGCTTGTGGGAATCAAATGAGCTCATCTATGGAGAGGGACTCTGGCTGTGCCTGAGGCATAGTAGGGGGTTAAGTCCCAGTGGCAAATACCCTGCCATGATTGTTACATTCGTTAATTAATCAGCATCATGCTTCTTTGACTAATGATTCCTGGAGGATAGGAAACTTCCACGGTTCCTTACGGTGGCAAGCTTTGCTCTTGCCTGGCAGTGAAGCAGAAGTTCTTTCCAGAAAGTCAGGTTTGCTCAGTGAATGACATTCTAGCCAGGGTGCCAGCCAAATGATACCACCCACCAGCCTCATCAAGCTTGGGTGGCTGCTGAAGCCAAGACTAGAGCTCAAAGCAGTTTCCTGAAACTCACTCACCTGGTGAGCAAATCCAGGCCGAAGCGACCTGGGAAGGTAAATGGATGTGAAATGAACAAGGTCACGGTCCACCTCTTCTGAACTAGAGCTCTGCATTTTTCTGTCTTTTAGAAGAATTCCCCATGGATTTCTTCCCGCCTCTTCCTCACCAGCTCTCCCTATGCCCTGCCACACACACACACCCCTACCCCAGCTCTCTATGCTCTGAAAAGGACTCACTTGCTAAAGTAATCCAAACCCTCATTTCTTAGTCCCTGTGTTTCCAAAACTCATCTAAGAGAAGTCCCTCTCTACCACTCTGCAGGTGGCAGTCATCTCCAGGCCACCCGGAGAGAGTAGTTCCAAGGTCTCAAAAAACTGGTCTTGGGTGATAAGGCTGAGCCGCATCTTGAGAAGCGGGACTTCTGCAACAGCCAAGAACCCAACGTCACTCATAAGGCACCAAAGGAAAAGCATCAAAACTCTTATGCAAAGGGGCTCTCGACCCAGAATTTCTGGTGGAAGTTCATCAAAGCTCGCCACAATCCCACACTTTGCCATTCCTTTTGCCTGGAACACGTATTGCCACCCTATTCACCTGGCTGAGCGCACTTCCTCCTGTAGGCTCTGCTTCTGCAAGGAGAACTTTGCCTCATGAAGCCCTAAACTGGGTTCCCTCCCACTGCTTTGCAAATATTAACCCTTTCAATCTCTCAACGACCCTCTGAAGTTGCTGATGTCACTATTATTATCCCACTTTACAGATGAGGACACTGAGGACCAGTGAGGTGAAGTGACTTGCCCAAAGTCACATAGACAGGGAGGGTGTGAACCCAGGAGGAAGGCCAGGCTGTCCCGTTACTGTTTTGCGTGGACGTCTGGCTGCCCTTTCCGTGTTCACGCATCCCTAGGGAAGGTGCCGACCCTCAGAATCTGAAAGAAAACAATGGAAGAACATCGGCTGGGAGACAGAGCAAATAACCAGGTTGTGTAGTGAGCATCTGTGATCTTTACCAAATATCTCCATTTCACCCCCCGGCCCAATCACATGAGGACTCTGTAGTTGGGTGGAGCCATGTGACTAGTTCTGGCCAATGGTTGTGAACAGAAGTTCCATGTGTCACGTGCAGACCACAATATTTAACAGTCAATGTGAAAACTACTTTCAAAGTTCTCTTGCTCCCCGCCGTGAGAAGCAACAATATTTGACATAGTGGCCATTCCATCAGCCAGGTTCCTGAGTGATTCCATGAGCAAAACCCCTCTGAGATCCATGACAGACAAACAGCGTGAGTATCAAATAAGACTGTGTTTGTCTTAGGTCACTGGAATTTTTTTTTTAGGTCAGCCTAATCTAACATGCCTCTTGTCTGAAACACGATGAAAGCAAAACCATATAATTAAATGACAGCTAGATGCTTTTAATTATATTAAAGATAATATAATTATATTGATATTAATTTCAAGCCTCTGAACCCAGGCTCTGCTCTCTCTTTGTCAAAAATGGATATAGCAAGTTACAGAGAGGAGGGAAATGCTAGCCTCAAACTCCCTGAGTTATCAGAATGATTAAATAAGCATTAAAGGAAGTAATTTTCTCACTTGGGATTCAGCTTTGTTTAATGTAAGTATAACCTAAATCATTCAGTGGCTAAAATCTCACAAATAGGGTTACACTATTTAACTACAATCAGGACAACCTCCCATCCAGTGTCTTGTAACCCATGCACTAAGGATAATTCTAGATATGGATAAAAGCTGGAGGAACAAATGACATTCCTTCCATCACCCTCCCAATACGATCTCACTCTTTTCCAAAGGTTCCTTCAGTACACTCCAGAAAACCATGATTAGAAACTCAGATGCAATTTTCGATTCCAAGAATTCAAAAATAGTTGCAAAAAATACATTTCTATAGTGCCGTCAGATTCAAACTCTACCTGTCATGAGTCTAAGCATTTCCGTAATGACTGGTGGCTACTTCTTGAATATTCTTGAGTTGTGGGCCATCCAGGTTTCATAGTCTAGAGAAGCATTCCTTAAACTATGATATTTGACCACGCAAATCAAAATCACCTGGGAAGAGTGTAAAATACGCAAATTCTCTGACCTATGGAATCGGAATCTTCCAGGATGGCAGACTGGGAATGTTCATTTTCACCAGGCTCCTTGGGGAATCTGGTGCAGTTAAAGGTTGAGAAGACCTGCTTTAAACTAGCTTTGCTAGGAAGACAGAAAGCCAGGCTTCTGGATATTGGTGGAAAAGCCCGAGTCCAGCCTACCATAAGGATATCCTGAAGATTCACAGGTTGACTCATTGGGCTCCGTGAAGAGCTGAGGTATCCAGGTGAGCAGAAGGCGGTCACAAACATGCAAACCCTTCCCCCACAGGGTCCCATCTCAACTCCTGGAGTAAATTGCACAGTCCAGCCAACCAGCACACAGCTTTCCCTTGTGTACTGGCATTGGTCTAGGAATGGACAGGAAGCTCAACCAGCTGGCACAGAAGATCTATAATCCATGCCTGTGGGAGAGGTTTCAAGGCTTTTCATTCTCTCCTGCCAGATGGAACAATGGACATAGACTCATCTGCCATTGGCAGTCTTGTAACTAAGAGGAAAAAGAGAGCGGGAGAGAAAAAAAGAGAGAGAGAAGAAGAAGGAGGAGGGGAGAAAGAGATGGAAGGAAGGAATCTTGGGATGAAGCAAAATGAGACAAGTAGAGCAGAAAGGCAGAAAGCACCCAGATTCCTGATATCAATGTTCACATTGGACCTGGAGCCTGTCCTTTCTCTGATCTTCCGAATACAAAAGATAAGAATTTCATGGATTGTTTAAATCACTTTGAATCAGGATTTCTCCATGGAAAGCAGGAGCCTTAGCTTGTCCTTACTCAGTACACACAGCTGTTCAATTCTGGAAAACTGACACTGTTCTAGAATCTGTATTGTGAAGGAAAGAAAGATAGAACTCAGAACTGGTTCTCATCCCAACTCTGCCAACGACAGTCTTGTGACTTAAGATGACTTAAGATGACAGTTGTGTGACTTAAGATGACATCTGTAGAATGAAGGGGCAGAATTAGAAGTCCTCTCTCTGCTCCAAGGGTCTTCAGTGGGGGACCACAGCAGATAATCCATGGCCACCATTAGTGGTCACATTAATGAAGGAGAGCAGAGAACTCCCAGACTGTTTTTAAAACTGTGCACTAGTTGACAATGTTTTTAAAAGCAGATTGCTCATGAAAACCAAGGTTTTTAAATTCTTTTGACAAATCAAAACATCTGTCAACACTGGACCCACATTTCCACACGGCAAAAATTGGGTAGGGGTCGGCCGCTGCTCTCTTTAATTGAGGCGTGTCCCCCCCACTGCCCACAACTCCCCATTGCCTCACAACATTGAGACTGTTAACTGTCTTTTGTCACCTTACACTCAGCTCACTCACTAGTGTACATTTCCTGCCCAGCCTGGGTGGACATGGACTTTGCACCCCCAGATCTAAGACAACAGCCTAATAATGCTTCTGGGATCCAAATTCTCTGGAGCCTTTTAAAGTTGACAGTTCTTGTCTTCACATCGCATCCCCCCATGGAGAACACAGGAGCCCAGCCTCCTTGAGAAACCACCCCAGAATACTACCCTCGACTCAGCTCACCCATGGTTTTTCTGGAAGCATGGTTTTGCTTCTGGGTTGTGTTTTCCATTTCTTCTTTGGACACTTCTGTTTCTTTCCCGCTTTGAGGTCTGTTTCCGGCTCATGGGCGGTCAGCTCCTTGGGCTAGATGAAGCAGGATTTTCTGCAAGCGCCACCTCTCCCGAGCCAGTTTGGAGTTTGGGGTTTGTATTTGAGTCACTAAGTTACTCACTGCGGGGGACTTGGCACTTCGCAAACCCATAGAATAAACAACACATCTGCCTCTCGAGCGTGGATCACAACAAATGTCCTGACTCCAAATATTGGCCACATATATTTTTGCTTAACAACAACAGTCTTGAATAATCAATGTGTTCTCTTGAGTTATCTGAAGCTGTAATTCACAGTAACTGAACTGTAACCTCCTCGTCTTGAGTTTAGGTGACTTTGTAGAAAGTATCTTATGGCCTTCTCAGAGATTGATAGGGTATGTTACTGAACTGGGCACCGGGATGCTTTCTACAGTTCTCATCCAGACTTGGGCAAATCCTTTCCTGTACTAGACTCTGTTTTCCCCTCTGTACAAAAAGGGGTGAAATAATGAATGGTTTGCAAAGTGTATTTCATAGAATCTTGGACTGGTTTAAGAAACACCTGCAGAGGTGATGGGGAAACCTAGGAGGTAAGATCTGAGACTACTGTGTTCTGTTTTATATGTTATGGTGATTTATTAGAGAAAAAACTTGTTCTTCTGTGACAGAAGAAAAAGAGAGGGAAGAAGGAAGGAAGGAAGACCACCAGATTAGATGAAATGATTCTTCTAATAACTGAGGATACGGGGATGATTTTTTTCTTTGAAATCAAATATGAAAAAGCACAACTTAATCTATCTTTAAACGAAGCATCTTTCATCTATCCCAAAGCAGAGTCTGTATGACATGGTGGTGAAGAGCATGGATCCTAATACCGGGCTTCCTGGATTCAAAGCCCAGATCTTCCACCTAATATCTGTATGGGTTTCGGCAAATTAAGCAGCATCTCTTTATCTCAGTTTGTGTCCCTGAAAAGCACAGTGATAATAATAGCATCTACTAACGATGAATGAATGAGTTAGCTCATGTGGGAAACAGTGCAGTACCTCACATGTAGGGTGCCATCTTGGGCCAGCATATATGGGCCCTATACTGTCAGGTCTGGCTTCATCAACAGTGGTTTTCCATTCCTTTATTCATGAGAGCAAACATTATGAAGGACTTGGTACATCAGGAGAAAGATAATAATGGAAAAGACAATAATGCTTGGAAAAGTAGAAGGCAGCAGGAAAAGAGGAAGACCAATGATGAGATGGATTGACTCCATAAAAGAAATCACAGGCTTGAGTCTACAGAGCTGAATAGGGCTATTTAGGACAGGTCACGGTGGACATCACTTATTCATAGGGTCACCAGGAGTCAGAGCCAACTTGACTGCACATAACTACAAAGTCTGTTCCAGGCACTATGCAACCTACTCAGAATGCCAAAATGATAACAAGCATGGTCCTTGTTCTCAAGACCTCAAAGCCTGGGAGGAGCAGGCATGTAGCAAGCTAATGCAAGAAACATTCCAGGAGCTGCTACCATCTGGATGGAGCACAATGAGATCAAGGAGAGGAGGACACCAATCAAGGTTTTGCTACTAGCTGGAGGCCTGGCAATAGATATTCTACATGCGTCTTCACAAGAGTCCTGTGAAGTTGAGATTATTATGATATTATTGCTACTTTACAACTGAGAAAACAGAGCAGATGAGGTTTGTCTAAGTTTATTCTATTTAGCAAGCAGCAGAGTTGGAATTCAAGCCAAGTCTTGCTGAGGCCTGAACCTTTGCTACTTAACTTTGTCAAGAAGGAAACTAAGACCTTGATGGTTAATTGTCTGCCATTATCTATTTTCCCGTTCTTCTTAACAACCCCTGATGCTTAGCTAGGCACATGGATATTGAGAATAAAAACTACATTACCCAGCCTCCCTTGTGACTGGGCCTATCACATGACTCCAATCTGACCAGTGATTATACACGTAAAAGGAAGGTCATACCTCCCCCTTCTTGTCCTCTGTCTTCTACCTGGACGTGGTCATGTTCCATCTTAGACTATGTGATTAAGGACAAGGTCTCAGAGCTGGCAGAGCAACAAGAGAGGAGGAGCCTGTGTCTCTGTATGGCCTTATGGAGTGGAAACTGCCTTGCAGTGAGAGAGAAATAAATGTCTATCTTGGTTAAGCCCTATAAAAGAAGTGGAATTAAAGTCCTAATAATACAAAATGATATATGCATTTTTTCCCCTTTTGGTAGATTGTAGCTCCAAGGAAACAGAGCTTCAAGCAGGTCTTGGGGGTCTCCAAGAGGAGAGCTTTGGGCTCTGATATGGTCGGCATTTAGCCAGAATAGAGTCTAAGAATCTCAATCGTCCAGGAGTGAGAGGTCAGTCACCAGGAAGACAACCTCTTTCAAGCTACAAAACCACTCTGCCAACTCAATGAAATTTGTAAGGCTTTTGTAGCTGCACCACGGCACAGGCCCAGGGCACAAAGAACAGGTGGTAGGAGACCCCTGCCCATCAAACAAGAGATAGCATGCACAGTGCCAGTAATGCCCTGCACCCCTGTCCAAGCAATCATTTTTCATGAGAATTATTAGTAATACAATCATTATTATTGATTTCACGGCTGTTACTCAATGAGATGCAACTTTGCATATCCTCTGCCATGTTATATATTCATTATAAGTACCTATCTTAATCCCCATTTTACAGTGAGTGAAACTGAGGCTCGGAGGGATTAGTTAACTTTCTCAAGGTCACAGAGTTAGAAGCAAACTTAGGAGTCCAAATTGTCCTATTGCCAGAGCCCTGCCTCCCGATACAGGAACATAACCCAATAAGAGCTGGGTAGACCAATTCCACGGTCTCTGACCACTTTCAGGAAAGATGCAACCAGCCCAGGCTGTTGGTAATTGGGTCTCTCCTAAAAGCAGCCCTTTGTTCCCAGCTCCCTGCCTCCCGGACTTCTTTCAGAAAGACAGTATATTTCTCACTTTTGAAACCATCGGGTATGTTGAGAATGGCCCATGATCTCTCTCCCGTCTTAAAGCAAGGCAAGTCAAATCAATTCTTTACCTTCCTGGTCTCTAGACATTAGTGGACAAAACCCAGTTTGCTGGACGTGGTCCCAGGTTCTGCTCCCTTAGTTCTCAAACCAGGTCCTTTCCTATGAAGGCTAAGCCCGGGATCTCCTACAGGAGATAAGTCCATACAGAATCCAACGCTGCACTCTCCTTCTCCCTAACCTCTTGACCCATGATGGATCCCACTTTGCTTTCTCCCAGTAGCCCGAGCTCCCAACAATGACATTGCAACCACCCCCCACCCCCCCCACCCCCCCGCCATTCCCTGCTGCTCATCTTGCATCTTGGCCAGCTCTCAGCCTATAATTCTTTCCAAACTCGCCTGTATAAAATAATCATGTACATGAAGTAAAACAGGAGTCTCATATACACACTTAATAACTCTTGTGTACTGTACAAGAGGGAGTTCCACTTTATAACCCCAGAGCTTTCGAATGGTTCTCATTTAGCTTCGCATTCCTGGTGTGAGATCTAAAACTTCTCCCTCTCTGCCCCAGCCTGTTGCTGCCTTTTGAAACTGTTGTGTCTCCAGATTCCTTGGGACCATTTCATCTCCATCTCTGCTTCTAATTGGGGGATTTAAGTATTGCTGTTTAGCCCTAGAGCTAAATGTCAGGGTTTCACTTAAAATCCCACATTTTGGGAAGTGAGCACATTGTACTGGGGAAGGTTCAAGTGTGAGCATGTCAAAGTAAATGGAGTTAAATGGATCAGCTAATCCTTCCAGCCACGAGCTCAATCGCAAGGTGAGAAGGTGGGTTCCCACCCCTGGTATTGGACAAGTGCCCTGTGTAACACTGGCCACATCACGGGCACTTCTCGGGCCTCTTTCCTTAAAGGGAGTCCTTCTATAGTAGATGGCAATTCCTCTGTATCTCTAGGCAGTTAATGGGGCAGTACTTATCATCTAAATCTTAGGTTCTAGGGGGACAGTGAATATCAAATTGTCTCTTATGCTGACCCCACGGATATGGGTCTTACTTACCAAAAAACAATATCTCGTGTTTTTTTAAACTAGCTTTATTTTATAAAATATGCACAGACAACACCACCAAAGATTATGGAAAACAGGGACCAAGGACGTAATTAATTCATTGTATTAATCTGTACATTCATCAAATTTTCTTGGTACCTACTCTTTGATAGACACAGTTCTTGGCACTGAGAAGATGGATGAGCCAGATGCAGCCCTCTGCTAACATCCTCAGGTTTATTTCACTCCCTAGCTTGCTGTATTCTGGCCGCTCTGGCTTCCCTTATGTTCTTTGAGCACACCAATTTTGTTCCTGCCTCAATGTCTTTGCACTTGCCATCCCCTCCAGCCAGGATGCCCTCCCTTCTAGTCTTCAGATGTCTTATGGTTCTCAACTCAAATGGCTTCTCCCAGTAGAGATCTTTTTTCACCATCCCTCCTCTTAGCACCACTCTTACTTTTATCTCATTGCTATATCATCTTGATAGTTTGCATCTCTCTATGAAATCCTGCTTGTTAGGTGATTGTTTACTGGTTTATTAACCAGTATCTTTCTCCCCGTCTCCCAAACTGTAAGCTTCTTAAGGTCAGAAACCTTGTCTATCATACATACGTGTATCTTCAAGGTCTAGAAGACTATCTGTCATAGACAGACATTCAATAAATATAGATGAATGAATGAATTCATAACGAGTTTTAGGGTTACATTTTTTTCTAAAACTTTTCTAAATAAATCTGTCAAGCTCAACCTTCATTGTTTCCTTCAATTATATCAGCACCCCCCAGGGATGCAATTCCTACTAAAACAGTATATTTCAAATGTGTTATAACATATAACTCTTCACTCAAAAGACTCTTAATATAAAGCAGTTTCCATGAAGGCAAGGATGCTGTGGCTGAGACAGGATTTGGGGTCTGGAGCCCCATTGATTTCCCCCTGCCCCAACCCTACTCTAAGACACCTATGTAGCCCCACCTAGAACAAATTTTGCTAGTTTGGTTTGAAGGAAACTTTCTTTATTTCTGCAAAATGCTGGTAGATATACTGTGGACACAAGGGAGTTTGGGTTAAGTAAGTTTAGGAAATATATAATTATTTTTAATAAACGTGTATTAAGTGGACACTACATCCCAGAAAGTGTGCTAGTTGCTAAGATACAATAGAGAAAAAGAAAGGTACCATTCCTGCATTCGAGAACCTTATAATCCGGGGATTAAAGAAAATTCTACTGGGCTAAGGAACATAAATGGGATTCTTTCCTGTTGGATCACACAGTGCATTAGCTCTCTGGTATGCTGGGAATATCTGACTATACATTTTGCCCAAAGTTACCGAGCACGTCACGGGTCTAGTGTTCCACCAAGCAGGCTTTGGGATAAACTTGTGAAGACCAACTGCTATGAGCATCATCAGAGGATGAACGCTACAGAATTACCAATTTTCAAAGCAGTCCAACACACACGAAAAATGTATATAATCCTGGATGATTCAACTCATTTGATCTCTGATGATTCGTAAGACATATTGAGATGATCCTGTGTCTTGGATCAACCCCTGGACATGGGGTATCCTTGCACTTGGAGCAAGTGGACATAGCCATTCAGAGAACCCATTACCTGCTGGGCAGCTACAGGAGGGTCCTGTTCTGCCTTTACACCAGTTTGTGGCTCTGTCTTTGTAGTCACTCCTTATAGGAAAATAAACTTCTTAGTGTGGAAATGCCTATAGAGAGATTTCAGCCATAAAATATATACCCTCCCCACACACAAATCAGGCAGAAAAATCCAATCAAAAGAGAGAGCCCCTTTTTCTCATCCTTGCCTGGGGACGTAATTAGCTGCTCCTTCCTGTGTATTCCCAGAACACTGTACATATAACTATCTATAGCATTGATCACAGTAGTTATTATTCACGAAAACCATGCAGGGTTCCCTATTTTGTGCCAGGCACTTTGCAAAATATTTTCTTTATACAATTCCTTATTTTCCCAACACTCATAAGCAGTAGGTACTACCATCATTCTTGTTTTAAAAATGGGAAAACTGAGGCTCAGAAAGGCTAAATAACTTGCCCAAAAGAACACGAGTAAATGGAACACCAGAATCTGAATCCAAGCTTGTCTGATTCCCAAGTCTACACTTTCTCCCCCAGATTTCCCAATTAATGGCTTAAGGGTCCATCAACTCCAGCTTGGATCTTCAGTTTCTTGAGTGACATATTTGAGTTTCATACAGCACCTAACACAGTTTATGGTGCCTAGTGACAGCTCAGCAAAGACTAATTGAATGAACTGTGAGAGGCAACATGGTACAAAGGAAAGAGCTTTGGGTTAGAAAGAAAAGACTGGATCCTTCTCCTGGTTTTGTAACTGACCCCCATGTGACCTCAAGCAAAGCCCCTTCCCCCTCTCTGGACTTTTGTCTCCCATCTGTAAAACAGGGGGATTGGAGAAGACAATTTCTAATATAATCCTTCTCCCTGAGATCAAGCGACCTATAAAGGGAGCTAGCTTCACATAATTTTTTTAAAAAAAAGGGAATTCCCAAAAGGATAGAGATGGTGTTGTCTCTTCCCAACATCCTCAGTGCTTAGCAGAGTGCCAGGCACAGAGTAGATGCTCCATTAGTACCCATTGGATGAATGATTGGATACTGACACCCATTCAAAACTCTGCTGAGAATAAACTATAAACACCTCCCACACCCCAAATCCCAGAAAGAAGCAAAAGCCATTTCCTTGCAAGGGAAGATGGATCCACTATTGAACTGCACCGCTGATCCAACCCTTCAAGAATGAGAGTGGCTGGAGTCCAGCCAACGGGGGCAGGAGAAGCTGGGGTGGGAGGCCTCCCAGCTCCCCCTCCCCACCCCACCCCACTTATGAACTTCAAATTCCTGTGGTGGATCGTTCATCACCAGCATGTAACCTCTGAAAAATATCAACGAGAAAGGTCCAAGTCTCGTTCCGCAAGGCCTTGCCCCCTATCTCACCCGCCCTGAAATAAAAGAAGAAGAGATCAGAAAGCCAAGAGACATGACATCCTAAAAACCCCTTTGTGGGAAATAAAGAAATAAATAGATCGATCCAAGACATAATCTTTTTAGTTCTAAAAACATGTTTTCCTTGCTTTCTGACCCTCTAGCTTTCCAGAGTTTGGGGAGTTGACTGAACGCCTTTGGTCCTTGAACAATTGGAAGTTCATAACTATGACCCTCTTGACTGTTAAATCTTAACACTGCTTGCTGGAAAGTACTTTGGCTCCAAAAAAAAATCAATCTGTTTTTTTCCAAACGCCCTCATCACTGAGCTCACACTTTGGGACTAGGCGAAGGGTTTTCTCAGATAGCGTGTAGATTCCCAAGCAAATAGCCAGAGTTTTCCTTTTCCCGTGGACTCTGTGGAGTTCACCTGAAAACGTGGTGATTATTTATGTTGTAGGGCACTTTCCGGCGAGCCACCCAGGGCTTCATATCCACAGGAAAACTGACAAATCCAATCAACTCTCCAAGTACAGTTCTGTAAAGT